CGGACCCCCCCGGGCCCAACCGGCCGGGGTCCGCCCCGCCGGGCACCGGCCCAGCCTAGCCGCATACTGCTTTTCTTCATATTTTTCTTTTCTTTGCTTCTGTTCCTCATCCTTCGGTTCTCGATTGGTTGGTCATATTGATGCACGCTAACGACATAACTGGATTGGAGCTTTCCAATATCAGCAAATAAAAAACATATTTGCCACAGCGGGCGTACCTAGCACGCGGGTGTGCATTGAACTGGCATGCCACAAGACAACAATAGCATCCCCTAGCCTCACCTACACTTTGGCAACTGTCAAAAAGACATTCTGCCACCATACAGTTTACCAAATCGCCTTTACTAGCACATATGGGAGTAGCGCACTCACCCTTGCCATTCGGTCCCAGTATCCACGGCATATGGCAACAAACACCCGGCTAGACAGCATTTGATCGATGGATGTGATAGTTTCACCGAGCAGCTGCACAAGTGGCTGCATACGCTTCGCAACATCATCCAGGTCCTTTGCCCTCATGTCCTGCAAGATTCTTTTCAAGTTTGTACTCCTAGAAACTCTCGTCTGCAAAACAAGACACCAGGAAAAACAGTATCACCAGAGCAATGTCAATCCACATTTCTCGGGTACATTCCCTGTCCTTCTCCCTGAAACAACTCGGAAACATCTGAAGGACTTGCAATAACAGCGCCTCGGAGAGTGCTGGTTTTCCAAAAGACTTTTCTTCATCCTTTTTTGAAAATGAAAAGCGGAATAGCACCGGAAATTGACATATACGCTGAGATAGATTCACAGTTACTTTTCACCAGACGGTTCCACAAAGCGTGTTGACGAGCTCACAAATTTCTGATGCCCTGACAAGGAAATCTGGGACTGGGTACATTGGCTGATTTATTACAGTTAATCCATTTCCATCCTCTGATGTAATACAATTGGTGAATCTACCATCCACAAGGCAACCGGCCACCCCTCTCAAAAGAAATAAAGAAGTGGGGAGAGGACGACTCCTTCAAGTCATCAGACAAATGCCTGTTTTAGAGAATGCACGAACGCTAGCATAGACAACAGCTAATGCCCAAAACTATAGCATAAAGACGAAAAGGAAAACATAGGTACACATCCCTTGTAATCCTCAAAGGAATCATAGTATCATAGCTACAGCTAAAACCATCCACAGCTATGGCTTTCAGCAGGAAAACACAGTTCAAAAATCTGTTGATCAAGGAGCTCGGTAGGAGGCCCGCTCCTGCACACAATAAAGCTACTCAATAAAATCACCCCCTTTGCACCCGCAGTTGCAGAAGCAAGAAGCTGACCAGGAAGACAATTCAAACTTCAAACAGCGGACGACAGAACGGCAAAGGAAAAACTACATAACAAACTTTGAAACGCTGAGACAGAAAATGCCATTTTATGCTGTTGGACGTCAACCTCCCATGGAAAAGTCAACACACCACAATGAAATGCTGTTGAAACAGAGAGAAACGGCATGGTTATCATCTGCAAATCCCAGCATCCATGCGGACAGTGTGGTGCATGCTAGCAAAGTCGACAAAACATGAAAAAAACAACAGAGCAAAGAAAACATGTGCAGTAAAAGCCCACAACAAAACGAGGTGAGGTCATTGCTGAATTCCTCTTGCTATTCACAATAGGCGGGGGGGGCAAAGGGAGCCAGGAAATAGGATCCAAGCAGCAGAAGGCATCGCCTCCCTGGTTTACCCAATGCATGTACTAGTCCAGTGGACGAGTCTAGATATGGGACGCTGGACCCGGTTTCCAGCAAAACCACAGAGACTTTCCATGGGATGCTGGACCCGGTTCCCAGCAAAACAGATCTGAAAAGAAGGTATTTGGTGGCATGATTTGGGACGCTCGACTCGGTTTCCAGCAGAACTATTGCGACTTCCTACGGGACGCTGGACCTGGTTTCCAGCAAAACTGGTCTTCACAAGCAAAGCCGAGTAATGCTCTCGGTATGGTGCACCCATACAATGATTGTTCTCCTATCCTCCGGGTAGACTGTGGGGACCCTGGCCCTGCTCTTACTTTTGTCTGTTATAAAGGACGCTGGGCCTGGTTCCCAGCATGTGCTTCTCCCCACAAATAGAAAGGAGCCCTGTTTCAACAAAAGAAAAAGAGGTGAGGCCACAGCAGTACCCCAGACCAGCCTGCATCAACAGGGCCCTCACTGGAAGCCCGAGTAGAGAAAGATTTGGCCACTTTTAGAAAAGGTTGCACCGACCAGTCGGGCTACCAATAGGGCTGATACATGTCCATCCCAAGACAAACAGCCTTTTTCCTAAGGGTCATTCCTGAATTCCTGATGGAAGAGATTTCTTGCGGTGTGCGAAGAAGGCAAGAAGACCTTTGCTAGTTTGTTGCAATAGATTTGGTACCCAGCAATGAGACAGAATGTCCTTTCATATGCAGAAACACACAGGGTCGTCAACGAGAGAAACTTCGTACTGAGTCTCCGCTGCGATTACTCAAGCCTCATCCTATTCCTTCTAGACACAGTGAATTAGTAGACATGGACTTCATGGCCTTATGGCTGGACCACTGAAACACACCTGTCAATTTGGGAATCTTGCACATTACTAAGAACATTGAAACACATTATTAAGAGCATTGTCAATTTGGGAATGATATACAAAATCAAGAGTGGTTTCCTTACATTCTCAACTTGCTTGTCGATGATGGCTGAGAGCAGACTCTTGTATTTTGCTCTCAGTTCAACAGTGACCTCATTCAATCGGTCTCCAAAGACTGCCTTCCCAGCAGATATCTCACTTGGCAGAGAAGCAACCCACACTTTCATCTGTGCCTCCATCTTCGGCCTCAGTGTCTCAAGCAATCTCTTGATAGAGTTTAGGACAACACCAAGCTGGTGGCACAAGGAGTCCAATTGGAGACGAAGTTCAGACCCCCGTTACTACCCCACCATATGATTACTACCATCATACACATTCCCCACCGATTCACCACAGCAAAAACATGAGGGCAAAGTTTGTCAAACCTCACTGCACGGAACAGATACATAGAAGATTGGGTTCCACACGTCCCCCATAAACTTCATTCGTACCTCAAAACCAGTGCCCAGCCGCAATCGTCAAAACAGGACAAGTCCAAAAATGGAAGTGTTGAGCTCACACATTCTCTGTGAAATTTGTGTCCCCCACATTCAAAAACCATGGTGTGGAGAAGGATATATTGTCACATAACTATGAACCAAGAGAGCGCACTTTGCGAAACAAACGGTAAAGATTAGAAAACAAGACAAACATGAGGGGCACACTGCAACCATATAAAGTACCCTCAGTTTCTGTGTTCTGGCAAACAAGAAGCGGGGATGACGTACCCACAAGCCCGATAATTACATTGAATGGTTGATTAGCACACACATTCTTTGCGAAACATATAAACCCCACATTCACAAACCATGGTGTGGAATTTGTGGATGAAGACATATGCATGCAAGAGCATTTTGATGTTCTGCAGGTGCATGACAAGCGATGTATAAGGTACCCTTAGTTTCTCAGTTCTCGCAAACAAGAAGGGGGGATAACGTAGGACCTGCCCCATTTCATTGGAGAACGAATAATCAGCCTAATAGCCTCCCTGTTTCTATACCAGTCAATTCCCCTTTGCCATTTTTTTGTGCTCTAACTTGGTTCAAAAAGATTTTTACGTTTTCTTTTAACGATTGGGTGGTTGTCATGATCGACTTTTAATATGGGTGCTCCAAGGGTGAACTAAAACACAAAAAAGGACAGGAGAGAAAAACATAAAAACAAGTATGCCATCAGCCAAAGCCAGAGGTGAAGGGTAACTGACCTGTCGAGGAACAACGTAGCGAGCACTTGCACGCCTCCTTGCCAGTATATGAAGCTGGGAAAGATTGAACTTGCGCATGGCAGCTGCCTCACCAAGAGGAGCCAAATATTCTGCATATTGCTTTTCTAGAGCGGCCACTATTCCTCTCTCAACATCACAAAGGGCCTGGAGAGACAAATGACACAATGCACATGCCAGCATTTAGATCGCATCAGGGAATGCCATAACAAGCTGGCCGTTCTGCACCTGAAAGAGCAGGAGAAGTCAGAGACAGCACCCCAAGTTTCATCAACGTAACAATGCACAAAGGAGAGAGATTGCATGAAACTTTATGAAAGTAAGCTATTGCAATTGCATGCAAGTGAGCTATGTAAGTGCTTTTAATTCACAACAGGCAAAAAAGAGGGGGAGGGGGATGGAGATGTAGGTGTAAAATGGGGAGAATTGGGGGTCGTCGTAGTGCCAATGCCAGGAGAAAGAAGGACAAAAGGAAGGAAAGAAAGTGCAAGGTAGAGGAGAAAGAGCAAGCATGGGCGAGCAAGATCATGCAGGTAGATGAGGGAGGAGAGGGAGGGAGGGAGCGAGGGAGGGAGGACAAGAGAGAGAGAGAGAGAGAGAGAGAGAGAGAGAGAGAGAGAGAGACAGAGAGACAGAGAGAGAGAGAGAGGCAGCAAGAGGAGCAGCACAAACTCACATTTTCCAGCACTGTGACATACTCTGGCCAGCGGCTCATAATACTTTCATACTCCGACAAAGTCTCCTTGATCTTCTGGTACATGTCCTCAACAAATGGGGATGAGGAGTGCCTCTCTGACTGAATTGTGGCCGCCATCCACCTAGCCTGATTCAACACCATTTGACAAGTGCTGCAGAACATCAGCAGAATAGTGGCTACATAAAAATCATGACTGTCTACTATCAGGCCTCAGTAAGTACAGTAATGGGAGAACTGGCACCATCAACCGCACAGGTGTATGAAAAGGTCTCCAGAGGGGTAATGAGTAAGGCCGGCACTGGAGCACAGATCAGCAAGCGATTAGTCTGCAGGAGCTGGAACACAGTTCAGCTCAGACAGATTAGCCATCAGTCTGTGGGAGATGATACCTCCGATAGACCGGTTCAACAAGGGGCACAGACAGACAGACAGACAGAAAGCTGGACCGATGGACAGATGTATGGATGGACAGAGGGACGGACAAACACATGGTCGGACAGGAGGCACAGAAGGTCGGACAGAAGTCGAGTGCACATGACATACGGACAGACAGAGAAAGACCGTGGCCACAGCAGAGGGGAAGGCTCCATAAAGTCACTAAAATGCTGACTGGTTCACATAACAGCAAGCTCTCACGAGGTTTGCCGGTTCTGCAGCCACCACACACGTGAAGCACGATGCTCCTAGCTCATAGAACAAATGATTACTGTTTTCAAGGATGCAAATCAAGAAGGTTCCTGCTTCTCAGAATGACGTGTGTCTCAAAAAGAGTGTCCACCCAAGTGCTCTCCTTGTGCAGGGATACACCCAAGTGTTGTCGGGTTTGCAAAACTGGGCAGGCTACTGAAAGGCAGGGATACACCCAAGTGTTCTCCTTGTGCCTACTGGGCATACGCTCCAGAATGCACCTTGGTTTTACAGAAGTGAAGTTTTGCAAACCGTTGGTATAGATTGCAGGCAAAACGGCAAAGCCCCACTGTGTGTATCTTGGTAGTTCCCCAAATTAACATACACAGTTTTGTGAACTGTAACGACTTGGAAGCGTACCTCGTCTTCCTTTGTCTTTCCAAAGAAGCTTACCTTGTCTGATTTGCAAATCTCAAGCAGCTTGAGGCGAGAATCTTGGATCCACACTTCTATATACACACCAAACAGCTCAATCACATCGACACCACCTGCAGACCTGAGCATGCAAGAAGCAATGTATAAAACACGCATTCGAACATGCAACACAAACACAGATGTGCTCAGACACAAGCACAAACAAAAGAAAAAAAACAAATGTGATGCCCAACAAGCGAAAAACAACCCACACAGATATGCATGAACACCTGCACATTTGTCAAAACCTTGCGCAAGCAGGAGGCCAGAACAACAAACTAGGGCATGTAGTGTGCAGCCAGCCTGCCGTACTCAACGCATACGAGTTTCAACACGGACTGCAAACAACCACTGACTCTACAGTGGCATCACACAAAAGCAAGAGCAAAGCAAACAGCTGAAATCTTGTGAAACACAGAGCGGCATAGTGAGTGAATACCATAGCCTTTTCACAGAGATAAGAGTAACATGGATGTTTCGAATTTGGTGAGAGTCAAGAGCCTGGACAAACTTCCTCAGCAGAGGGAGGGAGACAATGACAGACTTCCTAAAAGCAGTAGTGATAGAAAGGACATGGGATGCATGACCATCAAATGCAGCGAGCACACAAGCAGGATATCGACATCCAGCTTCATCTATGCATTCCCCATATGAGGGATACATCTCGCATTGTTAAGTCTATTAAAATGATTCAACTCTATTTCTGTCTGCATTGCAACACGGATGTATATATGGCATAAAAGCACTGTGTGGGAGTGTGCAACACCCTTCACAGTGTTATTACTTTCTTTTTCCAAGGTTTTCGCATTCTTAGATCGCTTCGACAAGGGTGGCCAGAGGTAAATCCTTCAGGTACAGAATTAATCAATGCTGCTGACTCAGGGGAGCATTGGCTGACCGGTTTCCAGCCTTATTCATAAAATCTCTCCTCTCCAGTCCTTCGGGGGAAAAGAAAAGAAAACTTGCGCCGAGCTTCAAGCATATCTTGAAGGTTGGGAACAGTAGTTGATCCTCTCCTTGAGGCAAGAATTGTTTTGAGGTAGGCATACGACTACAGGCAAGAATTGTTTTGAGGTAGGCATACGACTACAGGTAAATCCTGTTTTGAGGTAGCCATACATCAATGTAACGGTACACTGCAAGACTGGCCAGGCAAGGAAACTTTGTCATAAATGGCAGAAGCACTACAATGGCAAACAAACAAACAGTCCCACACGGTGAATCGAATAGCCAGTCATATCCTAGGAGCTCGGCATAAGATTTTCTTGGTATGTTTGCACAAATAATGGATGCATAGTAGTTTCCCAAACAACCGGCTTCTTTGCTGCCAATTCGTCAGTATATTGACCAATGACATGGGTCACAACAGCGTTGAGTCTGCTGGCTTTCTCTGAAAAGCCCACTGCTAATGGCGATGCTGATGACCACAATGGTGAAGGCAATGATAATGAGGAAGACAGATGGCGATGATCTCTTGGATGATGATGTTGGTGATGATTGTCGTGGAAGTGGTGGTGGTCATGGAGCTGATGGCAACAGCAGTAGCAACGATGAGGGTAACAACCATTGTGATGATGATGACAACATCATATCAGTGCTCAAAAAGATGACAGCCATGACGATAGGGAAGAAAAATAATGGCGCCAGCGATGACGATAGGGATGAAAATAATGACGCCAAAATTATAATGATCATGATGACAAGCTTGACGGTCATACGAGATGATATGACAATAACGATCACAGTAATGACCAGCAAGGAAGATAATTACAATGACAATGATGATGTTTGTGAGACGAATGGCAGTAACGACATCTGTGAGACTTGAAGTGCACACTAATTTCCTCAACAATAGCCACAGGAAGACACAAAATATTAAACATTAGACCTCTACTGCTATGGACAGCACATCTAGGATAAATAGCGACAGCTGCACAAACACATGCACAGAAACGCACACACCCAACATAGCACGCAGACATTAAAATGTCAATGCACGACCACTCACATCCATGGCACCCACATCCACACACATACACAGAGCCAGCGAAAGTTGGACAAATAGTTTGGCAAAGTCATGCTTATTTTGTCGAGTTGTGAATAGCAAGCATGATAACACACATATGCATGTCTGCCATCCAGGTTGATGGAGCTTATTGTGGAGGATGTTGAAGAAAAGTAAATAAACATCAGATTACCTGACTCCCCAGGTTTCAAGATCCCGCTGAAAATCTGCAGTTGCATGCAGAAGGTCCACCACCGGATGACTTGGACTGCTTGGAGGGCATGCCTTCAGGAACGCCCTGAGTCGGTTGCCTAGATCCACGTTGTAGATCTCAGCAACAAGAGTGGGAAGATCGATAGAGCTGAAGCCATGTCAAGGCCACACATGCACACAAAGAGAGGAGGGGGAAGGGGGAAGAAGGGGGAAGGAGGGGGGCGGGGGGGCCAGGGGCGGCAGGAAGGGGCAGTGATAGAGACAGAGACAATGAAACACACATGCGCAAGAGCGAGCACACATTCATACTCACTTTTGCGCACGTACATCCATGCATTCACACACAAACAAACACACATGAAAGTTTGCACATGACACAATGTTTCACACATGTGACACTGACACTGGGTCAAATCAGTACCGAAAAAGATTGACTTGCAATGCAGAACACATCAACTAATATGTATGAAGTACCTACACCTCAGGATCCTTTTCATCACGTTCCACCCAACCCGCCCTTCATACGGCTGTATGAATCAATCCACTATTATAGACTGGAAAAAGATTGACTTGCAATGCAGAACACATCAACTAATATGTATTGACGTGTCCATTCCAGCGTTGGCTGGTTTCGTCTGGAATTCACAATTTGGGTGATCCCGACTCTCTATTCAATCTGAACCAGCATAAGGTGGTAATCGCTGATATATCTACGGTCACTATCATACTTGAACCAATAACCCATAGGAGAGAACACGACAGAGGGCACATCAACTCAGACGTCCTCCGGCATTTAGGTCAACCCTCGCATAAGTTTGCCCAGCTTTTCCAAGGGAAGATTTTTGTCATGACCTGATAATTGGCCTAGAATTACGGGTCATCTTTTTGTTTTTTTTTTGCTTTTGTCGTTTTAGACAGTTTCATTTTGCTTTTGTTTTTTTTTTATTTTGTCGTTTTAGACAGCTTTCCCAATTGTGATAGAATTGAAAAAATATAACAATGTCAGGGATCTTTGTTCCTTCTTTTTGCCTTCTCTTTTCGTTTGTTTCTGTCCTTCGCCTCACCTGTTTTCATTTCCTTTAGTATTAGTCGTTTCATGCCCCATGTCTGTGTTCTGTTTTTCCCCTTTTCTGTTCCTCTCTGTTGACTTGTGCCTCGCTTGATATCAATTCCTTCCATATTTGTCGTTAGGTGCCCTGTCACATGCTTTTTAGTTCGGCGCCTTTTTTTGCCCCATTTCGTCCTTTGTGGGTTGGGATATTTTTGTAAGCTACTGCGTGCTCAACCTGGAGTATTGTTTTGGAAAAGGTCAAAGAATACTACAAGCGAGCTGGGTACACAGCCATTTCTGTGCCGGTGCCGTGACATCACTTTTTTTTTTCGGCTCCCACGGACCACTGTGCAGGTGTTTGTGCACGTTCGTGTGTCTGTGTGTGTATGTGTGTGCATGTGTATGTGTGTACGTGTATGTGTGTGTATGTGCGTGTATGTGTGTGTATGTGTGTGTATGTGTATATGTGTGTGTATGCGTGTGAGAGAGAGAGAGAAACAGAAATACATATAGTGTTTCTCATAAGGAGATCCAGGAGACAATTCTCTGCAGATTCTGAAGCAATAATTTCCTGTGAAGACGACGAGTCGAAAGGATAGAAAAGCATCCATACCTGGGCAATATTCCCTGTCGATGAATTTTGATATCATTCCGTATTTCACTTGAAAGCTGTTGGCATACCAGCCTCATCTTGGCATATGCTGCAACCACCGAGGTCACCCTGTCCTCTATGCCTTCTGCACCCATAACAACAAACTCGTCTGATTCTGAAAGATACCTCCGACAGCGCTTCTTTGCTGCAGTCTGAAAGTAACCCCGAAGAGTGTTCTGTGCCTCCGGTGACAATATGTCATTGAATAGTTTATACACCTGCAATGCTGGAATGAGGGCGGGAGCAGCTGACATCTGAACAGAGAGCTTCCCAGGCATCAACATGAATGCATCGGAAACTCCAGTAGGCGATGCTTCGTCAAGAGACTTGTAGTTCTCGAATGTGAAAGCCAGCAATTGATTAATATGCTCCTGTACATCTGCAAGTATTCTCCTCTGCCATCAAATGATCACGTTATGGATGCTGAATTCAGTACTCAAATGATTATACACAAGCAGGTGAAGCACAAAATGTGGTCACAGACCCAATTAACTCATGAAGAGTGTAGATACGACAACAGAAACAAGGGAAGACGAAGCCTCTTTGATTTCCAGTACTGTCCACTTAATGAACAAGGATGCCGACAGTGACAGTGCAATAACAACACATAGCCTGTCCAAATCCAAGATGCTTCATAATCTGCCACATTCAAGCTAAGCCAGAAATGAACTTATCCCTCTGGTCCTTGCCTGAGCTATTGCAGGCATATGCACCTGCACAGTCACATTCACACTCACACCCACCCACAAACCGACTGACACACACTCTACACATGCTGTACTTCCTTCAGTTGCACCTTATGGAGCTTGCTGCATCTTCCCCAGGACAAAATCAGCTTGAGGTGGAAAACAAAGCGTGAAATGCGCCACCTGTAAGTTAGCGGGGGAACCAGTCGCAGATTAGGTCGCGACAGCTGAACATCAGTACTTTACATCCAGCCCGGTCATCACCTCTCCGAAGGAAAGGCATGTCAGCGGCACGAGCACCAGCCCAGAAACTCTAACATCACTGTGACCACACTTCCATGAAGACTTGATTAGAATGTGATCCGCATTCCCTATGTCATGAGCAGTTCGAAAGTGTCGCCCACGCAATTCTCCATATCACTAACGTAACCCACAACATAAGGTAAAAGAGCGCCACAAAAGCAAATGGTGTGCAGGCATCCATCACTTCACCACTAAAACTGCAGCACTCACACCGTTTCACCAAAACACCACTTTGTCTATGGAGCTGCTCCATAACTCCCAATCGTTGGGTTTTAGTCACCGGTTCTTCAAGATTGTTTTCAACTGTCATAATAAGGTCTGTCCAAACTCAGCACCTCAAACATCTAACATAAATTTGTAATAAAAAATGCCATCCGAATAACGGCTTTCCATGCGGTCATCTTTCAAATGTCAACATGTAGGTCTGTTCAAATTCGAGAGAAGGTTAACGGAGACCCCAATTTTCAGACCACTTGCCATGCCATTTATATGAAAACCAAACGGTCATTTCAATCAAACTTGCCACCAATTCGTAGAGTGGAGACCATACTAACTAACTGCAAAACAAAATCCAAAAAAAAAAAAAAAAAAAACCATATAAAACAGCAAGGCAAAAGTGCATTTTCATGAAATTTTTCCAACATCTCAATTTCAGAAATCTTAAGATATTTCAGAAATCTTGAGAAATTCCAGAAATCTTGAGACATTTCAGAAATCTTAACAGAGGAAATTCCAATTCTCCAAATGACACCAAAAAAAAAGGACACCAACCTCATTCAAAACAAAAAAAGGCAAAAAAAAAAAAAAAAAAAAAAAAAAAAACTTTGACCCCGAAACCGTAATTTCAGCTTTGAACTCGTTACCCAGGGACTGAAAATGGGGGTCCCCATTAACCATTTGAGATACAAAATCCGCACAAATGCAAAGACGGACACAAAAAGACAATACGCAACATACAAAATCCACCTTTCCTCTTCCCTTGTTCCCACCAAAAGCTGCTTCCAAATCGCAATCTTGGATAGATATGACTGTTGTCTGATGATTAGAGGTGCAGATTGGTATGTGACAAGGCTAAGGGCTATCCCCATTTCAGAGACCAAAAGAAGGAAATGAATCCCAAAAAGGCAAGAAGACTAGCCTGTATGTTGATAAGCCCTGCCTACCTCTTGCCTGGAAAGCGCGTCCTCTTGTCGAGCCTTAACTATTGGCAATAACAATGCGTAGATCAACTCCAAGCAATCCTGTGTCGGAATTGCAATATCCATGATGTGAGTGAGGTACCTGAGGAATGAGGAAATGAACAACGCAAAGAATTAGCATGTACAAGTTACGACTAATAAAGTTAGAATATATGAACAGTTTTGGGAGGAACTCAGTCCTGTGTAGTGCAATCAGACTCCCTCTCATTCACACTTCACATGTATGCAAACAGGTGCGCAGCAAACTGGCGACAAGCGCCCACTCAAAACTCAGAGATATGGTAGCCGAGAACACAGCTCAGATACAAGTTCACTTCATTGGCTATGGCGACAAAGCGCCCACACAACTCTCTGTTTGCACACACAGGATCACCCTGGATATCCCACACGCGTTACTCTGTACACACATACACACACTCACACTGCAGACTATCTACAGCTATGGCGGCTATGGCCGCTGCTATCCTATCGCTATGGCTAAGCTTCTCTCTCGCCCACTTCGTCTTCAGGCTCACTGCAGACCACCTCGCACAAGTCGCTTGTGGCAGCGCCTCCGCATGGCTCACGCAGGAATGAATGAATGACTGGGCGCTGCGTCTTGATTTATACTTCTGCAGCTCGTTGGTCTGGCCCCTTTCCCATGCCCGTAGTGCATACAGTCCCATGCGGTACTTGCTTGACTGGACCAGGACTGACTGGGACTGGGACTGCTGAGTCAGCACACGCAGACTCCACCACTTGCCCACTTGCCTCACCACTTGCCCACTTGCCTCAGCATAAACATGGGCAACTTCGAAAGGCCACTGCTCGGACCTTCCCGAAGGTTGTAGACTTGGCCTTTCGATACTGTAGCAGCTACGACCTTGACCCTTCGGGAAAATTACAGCTACGACTTCTAGACCTGACTGAGACTCCTACTAGACAGGTCTACAGATCGAACCCCTGCTACCTAGGGACCCTACGACAGTCTACCAACTGTTACAAATACACAGGTCACAGGTTCAACTCTAGGGGTCGACACAGATACTGTACAGAGGTAAGGTGGGGACTAGGGATCGAGCCCTGGGATCTGCATCGGCTACTGCGAACTGGTGAATACCGTTTCACTCCCGCCGGCCTAAATTCGAGGTCCTCCGAGAATAACTCAGTCCAAGGCAGGACCTTTCCCTTTCTTATCTCTCTCGTAGGCTATAACTATGTCGGGAGCTGTCTCTAGAAGTTCTGCTCCAGTGAACCAGCGGTCGTCCTCTGGTTCCTGATAAGCAAACCGGACCTTGTACTGCTTCTGGGGACGGCCTCTACCTCCTGTTCTGAACACATCTTCACCTACAATGCCGTCAATGTCGTATCTGCCGTCCATGTCTGGGGGGATCATGGACCTCCTAGATGGAAACTGTTGACTCGTGACACACGGCAGCAACTTTGACGCATGAAATACAGGGTAGGTGTGGAGGTGTGCTGGGATCTCTATGGTGTAGGACGGTCCATCCTCTCCGCCCTTAAATTCTAGAACTGGCCACGGTCCTCTATACGCGGGCAGTAACTTCTGCGAGATGTTTTCCTCAGGAGCGAACTCTTTGGACTTGACCCAGACTAAGTCGCCTACTTGGAACTGTGACGGGCGACGGTGTTTATTAGCCTGTTCTATCATCCGGTGCTGGGCCTTCCTGAGGTTCTCAACAACAGTGGCTATCTCTTTCACGTGCTGTAGCACGAACTCCCTAGTACCGGGCGGTAGCCAGTGAATCTGATCCCGGTTAAGTCCCTCAAACGGTCTACATGGTCTAAAGGACTTGTGCAACTCGTTGGGAGTGCGACAGGTGGACAAATGCACGCTGTTATTGCACGCACTGGCTACCTTGGGTAACATCTCGTCACAGTTAATCTGATCAGGTCTAATGTACATGCGCAGAACTTGTTGCAGGATCTTGTTCATCTGCTCAGTCTGACCGTTAGTCTCTGGATGGCGGCCAGACAACATCAACAACTTGGATCCATAGACTTTCATCAGCTCCTGCCAGTTCTGGCTAGTGAAGCGACTATCTCTATCGCTGACTATAGACACAGGACTCCATGCTCACTAACCCAAAAGTCAAAAAACTTCTGAATCACTAACTCTGTACGGGCCTCTGCAGGCAAAGGCACAAAAACAGCATATTTGCTAAATCTATCGACTATAACCACTTTGGCCCTGGCCTCCACCTCTACTTCGCGGCCTCCCTCCAGCCGCGACAGCCGCATAGGACCTCCCCTGACCTACGCTATTGTCGTCCTCCTCAAGTCCCCACTCGATCTGACTATAGGGGTGCTCATCAGTACCACCTTCATCTAAGGTAAGGATCAAATGATCCTTGGCCCTGACTTGGCCAGAGATGGTACGACCCTTCCACTTTTTGCCCTTGCCTAAGTCCTTGTGCCAGAAAGTGGAAACTGGCATAGACTTCGCCTCGAACAAGACGACTTCCCTATTCAACACATCATACGTAATGTTGGGCTATTGGGTCTTGTCAAAGAAGTGCCCTCGCAAGGGCTCTGGCATGGCACGATAAAACAGCTAGACCAACTGGGTCTCAGTGACCCCATGGTCCGAGACGGCTACCAAGTCGTCTATGAGTGCTCGCGCACTCTTCCACTGTCGCGAGTGGATGGATTGGAGTTTGTCAGAGGCCCTAACGCCTCTCGTGACGTCAATGAACCTCTCACGCAAGAGTTTGAGGAGCGTGGAGAGGGGTGAGCCTAGAATAAGCAATCACGTTATGCTCACAATCGGCGGCGCGCACGAGGGACCTGGCGAAGCTGGCCGCTTCGTCCTTCAACGCATGGAAGGCAACGAGGACTTGTTCCTCGGGGGCGATATGCTGCAAATAGACGTAAGTATTAACGCTAGCCTCCCAATTATCGAAGCTATTGTCCTTCTTCCCGCTGTAAAAATCAGGAAACTTTAGTTTTCGGTCTGAACGTGGGTTACCACGTCGCGCGTGAACTCTCTAAAACCTGACCGGATGGCATGCAGGGTCACATCGTGACCCTTGTTGGCCTGATGCTCCTCAAGCCAGGCCTCACTCAGAACCTCGAGATACCCCAAAATCTTATCTAATTTTGCGAGGGTCTCTGCTTGTGCCTGCACCTCTTGTCTGCAGGCAAGAACTCTCTCCACCTCTCTTGCCACACGATTGGCTTCCTCCCTCTTCTTCTCCCTCATCATACATAACTTCCATTCCAACTTTTTCTCGTCTTCTATTGTCTGCCTTTCCAAGGGATCCCCTATCGCTTCCAACTCCCTGGCAAATGCTTCCCTCTCCTCCTGCGGCACGTACAGTTGTGCCTCCTCAACCTCCCCCAACGATAAATTAGCTACCCATTCGGTTATTTTCTTCGTCATCCACCCGTTTTCTCCCTTCGTGCCACTAGTCTCTCCCCTATCTCCTCCACGGCTTCTTTCAAGGGGCTCTTCTTCTTCCTCCTCTTCTTTTGCTGTTGTTTCTTCCTCGGCAACCTTCCTCTTCTCTTCTTCCTCCCGCTGTAACATCATCATCTTCTCCTTCTGAAATCTCAACATCTCTTCTTCTAACTACTTCTTCGCCGCCTGCTCCTCTGCTATAGCCTTTAGCTTCGCCTGCTTGAAGAGCTATTTCTTCTATTTTCTCTCCCTCAGGATGGCGGCGATCCGGGCCTGCTCGGCCTCGGATTGGGGAATAGTACTCTTCCCACTACGGGTGTCAACCATGGTGATAGGTGCACAACCAGACAACGGATCCACTCCTCACCACTTAGACGCTACTCACCACTTAGACGCTACGGGTGTCAACCATGGTGATAGGCTGTCTCTTATACACATCTAGATGTGTATAAGAGACGGGAATAGTACTCTTCCCACTACGGGTGTCAACCATGGTGATAGGTGCACAACCAGACAACGGATCCACTCCTCACCACTTAGACGCTACTCACCACTTAGACGCTACGGGTGTCAACCATGGTGATAGGTGCACAACCAGACAACGGATCCACTCCTCACCACTTAGACGCTACTCCCCCTAGCTGACACACCTACTGACTCAATCTTAAGGACTTACAGAATCCGGACAGGATCCTGTCAACTAGGATCTCTAGCCTACACCTACTCTAAGGCTGTCACTACGAGACCTGTTGCTGATCAGGAGGCATTTAAGGAGATCCCTCGTAACTCCTCAGGAATTATTTAACGTCGCAAACAGGACGACGCGATCAGTAGGTCTTCTCAAGACTTAGACGGCCTGTTGTGCAGCCCACAGCTCGGATTTTGGGCCTACCGTGCCACACCGAGCAGCCTGCCGGTCAGTACCCGTCCTTGGGAGGGTTCGTGTCCTCCAGGACAGTCGAGTCCTCAGACACAGTCTTTAGCCCTACTCAGCCCGTGTGGGTTTGGTCAACAAGGCCCTATCCTTCATCCACAGAGCTCCTATCATCTGGACAGAAGAGACTCAATGCAAAAAGAAGAGACAGACAGACTTGACTCAGCAAGTGCCACAGGGTGTGTGCACATCCATAGGGCGAGGGAACAGGCTGAAGGCTTGGCGAGATTATACCGGCTCCAGCTTGGTCAAAGTCATGGTTAACGATCTTGGTCAACACTTGGTCAACACTGCAGTCAACCCCGGGTCAATGTCTGTCAACCTCGGTCAACGCCCGGTCAACTCTCCAGATCAACATCCGGTCAGCTATGGCTGCCAGCTTCTCCTTCCTCACCACCCTTCTCCTACCTTCTCTCCACCTCGCCTCTTTCTTCTTC